ATACTGCATTAAAAAAGTGGGAGATACAATAGAAAAGGTGGAATACAAAAAAGAAGACTGGAGACGACTGATGGTGATGGGGGGGTCTGCTCTGTTCCTAGCCGATACTGATAAAACCTATTCAGTGCCATAAGATAAGAAAAAAGTTCTCCAAAAGAATCTCAACATTCAAAGAAGCCAACGTTTATCCACTTGCTAACTGTCCTCTTGTTTTGGGAAGTCACAATCAGATAAGAGAGTAATAGTTTAAGACTGTGTGGGCCGCTCTCCACTATTTCCTGATCAGATAAGCAATTGTCACAAAGTAGGCCTCTCAGACCCAGCAGACCCTCTCTTTGTTCCTGGATCAGATAAGAGAAAGCCTCTTTATTAAGTGACAGAGCCCCTATTAAATGAAACATTAAAGCTCCTATATCGGTACACCTGGGCAACATGCTGCTTTTATCCCACAGAGGAAATAGAGCGGGACTGAGGGAGGAAGGGGGTAACAGAAAAGATATGCGATTGTGGGAAAGGGACATCAAATGGAGGGGGGAATGGCAGTCGAGAAAGAGAAATAGGTCTGAGAAGAGAGATTAATAAGACGGAGCAAATGTATGAAAATGTAAAGTGAGACAGACCAAGACGGAGGTATAGAGCAGGGTGCACAGCCGCTCTGAAGAGGGAATGGCATGAGAGGAAAGACAGAAAAGATAAATCAGGGAGAGTTAACAGGGGGGTGTTTGAATGGAGTAAGACAGGTAGTGTGTCACACTGCTTTGAGAAATAATCCACCTTTGCCACCAAAGAGCTGAATGAACAGGGGAATGTTCGGAGCAGCACAGAACAGTGTTCATCTGAAGATAACATCAGCACAGACAGAGAGACATCGTCTTACATCTAATACATCTGATAATGTGTTGGCTTGTGGGTGTATATTTGTCTGAGGGGGCATCTCCTCTCTTTCTCTGTGTGAGTATCTGTTTGCCAAAGGATGTTTATACCATATACTGAATAATTAAAATGGATATAGTCTAATTCACGTCACCCACAGGTTTCTGAAGAGCCATTGTGAAGCTCTGGCCATCACCATGTTGGTGGAATCCACAGGCTTCCCAAAATCCAAAAATAGGCAAAGACGTGGTGTGTGGGTGGAGCTGAGGCTGGCCAAGTGAAGCCTGGATACTGGAAACAGCTGCCTGTGGTGGCAACCACCACCACTCAATGCGGCCATGTCCTTAATTATGCATAACTCTAAGCCTTGATATAATTCAAGCGGGAGATTTATATAAAAGTGGCACATTTTGTTTATTCCATGTTGGGTTCTTTTGCCAGCCATGGAGGTTGCTGCTTGGTTTACACCGAGTAAATTTTTTTAATTAATTTGGCTTAAAGTAGTGTTTCTGCTTGGCTGAACCTATTGTAAAGGTTCTGTTCACCCAAATTATATATGTTTAATCCTTCATTACAACCTTTTCTTTCCTGATATAAATTTGGATTCCCTATCTGTAGATACCAAGCACCAGTCCAGTACTAGTGCGCTCTTTTCCCCAAATTTAAAATCTGTGTACCTAACCACTTTGAACTTATTATAACCGGATATGTCTAATGATCATATTTCATTTGACATGAAAGGTCGGTCTGAGCACGGCCTAAGTTGGTGGCCTGCTGTGAGTTAATGAGTGTACCTGACACTGAATTTTATGACATTGTCAAAGGAACTATATTTAATATGGATCGCCACGTCACGGCTGATACACAGTCGTAAGGTCAGTATCTAAAGATACCAATCCGGTGTATCAGATGAGTGCATCCCTAGTTTTATCTGCATGTTGGATAGAGCTCCGAAAACTTTATTGGACTAATGTAAATGTAAAGATTTCTGATACAGTTACTCTGGACTATTTAGAGGTCTTGCTGTCAACTGCTTTACGAAGTATTTCCAATGAAAGTCACGATTGGACGATGTGTTTCTTTGTAACTTGGGTGAACCGACCCTTTAACACGATTAAATAGTTTTTTTTTG